CCGGGGAAGGTGACCACTCTCTCTCCAGTCTTGGCCTCTCCTTATTCCTAGCATTTCCCCATTTGTTGCCTTTCTAAGCACTCACATTCCCTGTCTCTGCCCCCCCCTCCCCACCTCTCATCCCTTTGTTTTCCAGGGTCCGCATTTATTTTACACTCCCTGGAAGTGTACTGCTCTCCCTCTTTTCTCCATCCCCTCTCGCTAACACTTTCCTTCCCATCTCATCTCGGCCCTGCATTTCTTACACCACATTTTTTTCTCACCTATGGTAACATGAGACTGAACCCACTTTTATCCCAAAACCTGCCTACATGAAGTTTTTTGCCTCCCTATCTGAACTTCCACTGGTCCCTCCCTGAACATCCCTATCCTTCAAGATCAAGACAGTGGTTGGCAAACTTCTTTGGTGAAATACCAGACAATAAATATTTTAGACTTTGCAGGCCACATGGTCTCTGTTGCAACCACTAAATTCTGCCATTGTGGGGACTAGCAGTTAGTGTAATGGCTATGTCGCTGGATTCTCATGTAGTCGACCACGACCGCGGTTCGAGTCCCAGACCTACTAGCTTCTTACACCACATTTTTTCTCACCTATGGTAACATGAGACTGAACCCACTTTTATCCCAAAACCTGCCTACATGAAGTTTTTTGCCTCCCTATCTGAACTTCCACTGGTCCCTCCCTGAACATCCCTATCCTTCAAGATCAAGACAGTGGTTGGCAAACTTCTTTGGTGAAATACCAGACAATAAATATTTTAGACTTTGCAGGCCACATGGTCTCTGTTGCAACCACTAAATTCTGCCATTGTGGGGACTAGCAGTTAGTGTAATGGCTATGTCGCTGGATTCTCATGTAGTCGACCACGACCGCGGTTCGAGTCCCAGACCTACTAGCTTAAACTCACGCTGGACACGTGTGCGTATGTGCACAAGATCCCAAGAGGAGAATGGAGGAGAAGGTTTTGCGGTGTGGCCATCTCCCCTGGGGGGTGATTTCTCACTTTCCGTCTCTCTGTCTCTTGCTGTTTTTCTGATGAGCGCACGTACCCTATAGCAAAAACCTAAAAAAAATTAAAAAAAAAAATTCTGCCATTGTGGTATGAAAGCAGCCACAGACAGTATGTACGAATAGCGTGGCTGTGTTCCAACAGAACTTCATTTATGGATATCTGAATTTCATACAATTTTCATGTATCACAAAATAGTATTGTTTTGATTTTAAAAACATTAAAGTGTAAGTCATTATTATTAGTTCATGGGCTACACAGACACTGCTCTGAGTAATGCCACTTCTTCCCTGAAATCGAAATCTATCTTGATCATTTCTAGTGGGGAGTAACTTCAATTTCTCCACAACATTTTTCTTTTTTTTTTTTTAGTTTTTGCTATAGGGTATGTGACCTTGTCACACAGAGACAGAGAGTCAGAAAGAGGGAAAGTGAGAAAGAGGGAGTGCCCCAGAAAGGACGGCTATGCGGAAATTCCTTCTCCAGTCTTCTCTCAGGATTTTGGGTGTGCACACACACGGACTGGGTGTGATTTTCAAGCCACTGGGTCTGGGGCTTGAGCCATGGAAGCAGCCATGTGAGACCCAGCACTTTAACCACCATGCTACTGCTGGCCCTCTCCATGATTTTAAAGCCTAACATACATTCTTCTATGCTATCTGCCACATCAGTTTTGATGGTAATCTGTTTTTGTTTTTTTTTTTTTTTGAGAGGTTTTTGCTATAGGGTGCGTGTGCTCGTCAGGAAGAGAGACAGAGAGACAGAAAGCAAGAAATCACCCCCCGGGGGGGGGATGACCACACCGCAATCCCTTCTCCTCCATTCTTTTCTCAGGATCTTGGGCATGCACGCACATGTGCATAGCATGAGTTTAAGCCACCTGGTCTGGGACTCGAACTGCGGTTGACTACGTGGGAGCCCAGCAACATAGCCATTACGCCAACTGCTGGTCCCTTGATAGTAATTTTTTACTATGCATTTTCATCTTTCCCAGCAGACCTCAAGCTCCTTGAAGGTAGGGCACAGTCTTTATTATTTAGTTCTATGTTACCTCCCACCCCACAGTGCTTTGCACAGACCAGGTGTTGAAACATACACAGAAAGGAGAACTATTTCTGTCTAGGGTGGTCAGAAGTTGTCTTCAATGTACAAATCTTACTTCTCTCATAAAATGTGGCCTCATGGGCATGACGCTTGTTTTGTATATATCACACCTTGATTCGATTTCAGAAAGATTTTTAAGAGTTGTATGGACAAGATAGACAGGCAAATGTCAGTTCGTAGATCACCACCAGCCTAGAGACAGGACATGGACCCCAAGTCAGTTCCTATATGATACTTTCACTGGCAAATGGCACAACACAAAGAAGACACACGGTGTGTTTTACTGGTGTGAAGCTGTGCAGAGCAGTGGTGTAATGAGTAATAGGGTTCATAGGAGAAAAACTCTTGCCCCACCACTTATTCTCTCTGTGCCATAGTTTTCTTATCTTTAAAATGGGAATTATGGGGCCAGTGGGTGGCACGGTGTTTGTCATTGGACTCCCACATGGCCGACTTCAGTTCGAGTCCCATACCTGGTGCCTTGAAAATCACACAGGGCACATATGCATGTGTGCCCAAAATCCCAAGAGAAGAATAGAGGAGAAAGGATTGTGGTGTGGCTATTCCCCTGGGTGGTTGGGGGAGGATTTCTCACTCTCCTTCTCACTGTCTCTGTCTCTACCTGGCCAGCACACCTGCCTTATGGCAAAAACCTTTAAAAATGGGAAGAATGAAAATTCCTACCTTAGAGAGTTATTGTCAGGATTAAATGAGGGAATATATGCAAAGCCTGGCAAAGAGGGTTCAATGTTAGCTACTAACTATGGCTACTTTCTTGGTAGAGTGGAAATATGTCTAAGTTAACACATTTTTGGTTCAAAATATTAAATTGTACAAGTTAGACCTGGCATGATAGTAATTCGTGTAAAAAGAAACTGTAAAAACAAAAAGCAAGGGGCCAGCAAGTGGCATGGTGGTTAAGGTGCTGGACTCCTACATGGCCGACTGCAGTTCAAGCCCTAGACCCAGTAGCCTGAGAATCATGCCGGGCTCATATGTGTGCATGCCCAAAATCCTGAGGAGAGAATGGAGGAGAAAGGATTGTGGCATGGCTATCCCTGCAGGGGGTGATTTCTCACTTTCTTTTTCTCTGTCTCTGTCTTTCTCTGATGGGAGCATGCACCCTATGTCAAAAACCTAAAAAACAAACAACAAAACCAAAAGTAAACCCGGCCCTCTGGACTTCAGCTCTGGGAACGAACAGTATCACTCCCGTGAGGTGGGAGAGGTTAATGGGGAGGACGGAGGGCACTCCGGTGCCCCCTCCAGGAGGGCCGGAATCAGGCCTGCTCTTTCACAGCTGTGTGACCTGGAGCCCCTTTGAGCTCAAGTTCCTCCTCTTAATAACAAGGATAGTAACTTCTCCAGGGCTACGGACAGGGAGTGAAGGACTTGCAACGGTGCCTGAACACAGTTGGTGTTAACACGCTTCGGTTCCTCCTGCCACACCATACGGATCTAGGAAGCAGTCCTGCCCCGCATGGGCTTGTAAAGAGTGGCTTTTAATCCTGGGAGTGACAGCTGACTTTAAGGGATCACATTCCGAGAGTGAATGTACAGGCAGCATGCGGACAGACAAGCATGACCCCAGATGGTGGGAAGTGCTACGTCACAGGTAAAAAAAAAACTAAAAACCCAAAAAAAGTCCCAGATATTTAGCCTGAGGATTTTCTCTTTCTTTAATGGGAGGAAGAGGGAAGAGCCATGATGGCCGCCTATGAACACTGAACACCGAACACGCGGGAGACGGACTCTATTACGTTCAGGAGACAGAGTCGGCGACCAGAGGTGGAGCGTTCCGGGAGAGCGGGGTTTGGCTTAACTGAAGGAGCAACATTTTGAGAACGAGAGCAGTTCCACCTGGGGTGGCTGCTTCTGAAAACGACGAAGCCTCACCGACACGGCCTCCTCCGCTCTGCGCTTCTCTAGGACTCCTCTACTCCTCTCCTTTCCTTCGCACCCTCTCTCTACCCCGTACGGGCCCACTGTCACCTTCTCACCCCACCCTTCCCCAAGCGTCTGCCTCCTCATCTCTCCTTCCTCACTTTCAGATGCGTGTTCTCTCGGCTTTCCCACTCCCACCACATGCGGGAGCGGCCTCCCTGAGCTGCCGGGAGTCGGGGTCAGGACGAGGGAGATGTGGGCTGGCTGCTGACTACGTGCAGAGGGGCAGGAAAGCTACTGGATGGTTGCAGGGTGCAGAGGTTCTGCTGGGGCCGCTCTCGGGGCAGAAACCCAGGCTGTGGAGAAGTCCACTTGGAACCGACTGTCCCAGACACACAGGGGCACCCCTGAACTCAGCATGGTTCCTCCCAAGATGCTTTCTGCATGCCCTCTAAGCCCCTCCTGGGCATTTCCCTCGTCTTTGAGGTCAGGCAGTTATCTTGCCATATTTCCACGTGGGACATATTTCCACTTGGCGGAACGTGGTGGTGTGTTCCTGGGCGAGTGGCAGAGGCAGGAGGATCCTGGGTCCCCGGCCAGCCTGGGCAACACAGCAAGACCCTGTCTCCAAACAATAATTAGAAACCATCCTTGTACTGAACGATGCAGAGCACCGCAGTGGCGGCGGGTCGCCTGTCTCGGCTCTGGGATGGCCGAGTACTTGCCCATACGTTGGCACCGGCGAGGGGCAGACCTCTGACGGGCAGGCCTCGGCCTCTGGCTCTGGAACTCTGAGCTCTCCTTTTCTTTCCCTGCCCCTGGACTTTTCTGTCTCTGGGTGCCCTCTCTCCCTCCCCGGTTTGCCGACTTTCCCTCTTGTCCAGCCGTCTTGTGGCCTCTCAGGCTTATACATGGGTACCGCCCCTTCTAGATGCCAGTGGAGGTATGCCAGGGGGTGGCAAGGAAGACTCCCCCCAGGGGCCCCGCTATGCTCCATACCGTGAGCCGGGGGCTGCTGCACGTTGGGGCTCTTGGGTACAAGCAGGCCACCTGGCATTGCGGTGACAATGGCTTGCTGATGTGGTGACGGGCCAGACGGAGCCTCAGGTACACTCTTCTCCCCAGGCACCACTTCCTTCCAGTCATCGGGGGTGCCCTGCTGGGGCTGGTAGGGAACAGGACAGAGGGTCTTCTCAAGAACTGCCTCCATGCTCTGAGGTACCACCCCTATTTCTGCAGGGCTTGGGGGGCCGGCAAGGACTTTAAGGTGCAGTCATCTCTGCTTTCTTGGAAGACCCAGAGGTGACGTCAATACTCGGCCCGCGGGGAGCCCGTCCAGACGGGGCTGTGGGACTGCCGTGTGGCCTGGACTTGGGGTGCGTACTCACCACTGGCGAAGTGGGCTGCAGCTGTAAGATGACAGTGGAGGCGTGCTGGAACCTGCGCTGAGGGGTGTGGGGCAGGGCCTCCGGTGGTCCATTCTGCGGCCCGGCCTCTGATGTGGGAGGGTGGCACTGCTGGCTGCTGCCAGGCCTGTGCAGGCTGGCGGCGGGGCACTGGAGCGGCAGAGTGGGTGTAACTGGGCCCAGCGGCATGGCAGGGGCTTCCGAGCTGGGCTGCAGGGCCGAGCTCGGCAGGACGGAGGCGAGCTGGGGCTGGGGCTGGGCCTGGACCACAGGCCGTGACTGCTGGCTCTGTGGCGGGGGGGGCTGCTGGATCGCAAACTGGGGCTGCAGGTGCTTTGAGGATGGCTGTGGGAGGAGCTGGTGTGGCTGCAGTTGAGCATAAGCTGCAGGGGAGAGAACAAGTTAAATGGCATGGCTGCACCTTCGTTGTACCCCCGTGCCTCGCCCCCATCCAGACAGAACCGGTTCCCCAAGCTCACTCTCCTGCTCCATCCTGTCATGCTTCAGCTAGAGCCTGGCTGGCCACTGCCACAGCCCAGCACTCCCGTGCACTCCTAAGCTGAGGTGCTGGGCTCTTTGGGCTGCCCCTGCAAGCTCAGCTCAAAACTCACTTCTGCAAAGCCATCTTCGGTCATTCCTTCTGTCTAGAGAAACACTGGCCTCTCTCCCGTCCACGTGGGTCACTCTCTGTCCTTGCCTACAGTATCTGCAGCCTCCCCTTTGCCCAACGCAGCTCTTCACGGCTCGTCCTTCCCCATCTCTGGCTCTGCTCAGGCTCGGTCTCCTCCAGGAAGAACCTGCAGACTAGGCCATCCTTGGTTGGCACCGGACTACCCCTTGCTGTTGTCATGTCCCATGGGCACTGGGACTGACCACTCAGCCTCCCAGGCCTCAGCTTCCTAATTGAATTGGAAATACAGTTTCTGTCCAGAAAGTTCTTTTCAGGTTGAATTTTCAAAACGCAAGAATAAAACGAGAGAAAACCACATGACTGTAGCACAGTGCCTGGCTCAGTCATTTTAGGTTTTGAGAGATTTTTGCTACAGGGCATGTGTGCTCACCAGAGAGACAGAGACAGAGAGACAGAAAGTGAGAAATAACCCCCCCAGGGGATGGTCACGCTGTAATCCCTTCTCCATTCTGCACATGGGATCTTGGGCATGCATGCACACGTGCTGGGTGTGAGTTTTAACCATTGAGTCTGGGACTCGAACCGCGGTTGACTACATGAGTCCAGGGACATAGCTGTTCCAGCACCTGCTGGACCTGCAGCTCAGTCATTTCTAGTTCTATTGATAAGTAGGAGTCAGTCTTGGCCTAGGTTCGTAAAGACCCTGGGGCTCGCCTCTGTCCTAAGGACGTTTATCAGGTGGGTTCTGATGGCTCCCTACCTCTCTCCTCCAGCCCGAGCCGCCTGCCATCGGAAACCACCACGCATCTCTATCTAGGACCTAACCTAGTGCCCGACAGTAACTGACTTCAATTCCAGTGAATGGAAACCAGGCAAGAGGCCTGCCAGCCCTGACCTGGACATACTCATTACCACGTGTTGCTAGATCCTTCTTCTATTGTTTCTATGCTGCCTTTTGGGGGTGGGGATTCTTGAATTTTTAGAAACCCCTTGGACACCTATCTGTGCACAGGGAGGCATCGGGGTTTGCTCGGCTTACTCTGTCCAGTGGCATCGAGGCCATTTCAGGATGAGGGCAGAGTGGAACCTGTCCTGCCTACCAGCTGCCCTCCCCGGACCCCCACAGCTGGAGGGCCACAGACACTCAGAAGTGGAGCTGACGGGAAGCTCGCAGGTGCAGTTTTATAATGGCAGGCTCACAGCCAGTAAGGAAGAAGGCAATTCCGGCTCTTGACCTAATTTTTTAAAAGAATTACTGATTTAATTTTACTTGTGATTATTATTATTTAATTTGCTACAGAGCACGTGTCTCTCACCAGGGAGAGAGAGGAGAAAAAGAGAGAAAGCAAGAAAGGGAGACCAGCAGGTGGCGAGATGACTGGGGTGCTGGGCTCCTACGTGGCAGAACACAGTTTGCACCCCAAACCTAAGCTAACATTTTTAAGGGACCCTGTGATTTCAAAGTGAGTCAAGGGGTCTGGTCTCCTTAATGCAAGTCTCCCATAATCTCATCACATTTCAGCCCACGTAGAATTGCAGGCAGAATTCCGACAGGAATGGAAAGGGGAGGGCAAGAACGACGGCGTCAGGATGGGCAAGGCGTGGTGGCCGTGACAACTGCAGGCAGAGAGCCGGCGTCCGGCGGCCCGTGCTTTAGTCTGGACGGCACGGACGGCAGAGTTGGTTTCGAGGGAATGAGCTGGTGTGAGATGCTGGTGGAAATTCAGGCACTTGGTGGTTACAAATTGTTCCTAACCCCAGTCTGGGCCCTGTCTTCCAACCTCACCTTGAACAGCTCAAATTTAACAATTCAGCAAAGCCATTAATCAAGAGAACTTAACCGTCTGCCCTTTTTCTTGGGGGGGGGGGTGGACTTTTGCTATGGCGCATATGCGCTTATTGGACAGACAGAAAGCAAGAAATCACCCCCCAGGGGAGATGGCCACAAAGCAATCCCTTCTCCTCCATGTCCTCTTAGGATTTTAGGCACATAGACACGTGCCTGGAGTGAGTTTTAAGCCGCCGGGTCCAGGATTCAAACCACAGTTGACCACGTGGAGTCCAGCCAACATAACCATCACACCATCTGCCGGTCCCCCACCAGGCCTTTCTGAGATGACTGAAAAGGCGCCCGAGAGGTGCTGTGGGTGCACACGATGCTCTGGCAGGCTCTGGCAGCCAAAGTGAGCCATGAGTGGTGGGCACAGCCATGGGGTCGCTACCCAAGCTCTGTCTCCCTTGACACAAATTCATAAACCCCTGCTCCTGGAGGACAACATTCTGGGGAAAGGCTGGTGATGGCCAGGTCAGGGACATGACGAGGCTCAATGGCAGGTCCCCTGCTTGCTGACCACGTGGAGACAAGAGACTCGGGGCTGCAGAGTTCATCTGTGAGACCAGTGGTTCGTGCCAGGTGACCCACGGGGCTCCTCCTGCTCTAGCTTACTGGGCAACAGACTTGGGATGAGGTGGGAAGGCGGCGAGAGGGGAAGGCTATGTCTCCAGGGGCATGAAGAGCACAGACAGGGTGAGGCACCTTCACACCAGCGGACAGGAAAGGGGCCTGCCAGCCCGGCCTCCGTTCGTAGCTTCCCTCCAATCCTGTCCTCTCCACCGCCCTGTTAAAAACTGAAGCGTACACCAAGGCTGAAAAGAGAGTTCACAGATCGAAGCCCCCGGCATTTGGGAGTTAGAGTCCATCTTTAGCCTTTTGAGGTTAATAGAAAGTAAAGACCATAATTTAACGCCTGCATTATCCTGGGTCAAAAAATCTTTTAAGAAAATTATTTATTAATCATCATTATTATTATTTAAAATTTGCCACATGGCATGTGTGCTCATCAGTGACAGAGAGAGAGAGATTGGGAAGGTGAGAAAGCAAGCGACCAGATCCACGACTCGAAATATGGTTGCCCATGTGGGAGTTCAGCGCCTTAACTACCACGCCACCTGAAGGCCCCCAAATCCTTTCTTTGTATTTTTCTTTTGCTTTTTTGGCAATGTGATATATGGAGCATGCATTCACTGGGGAGAGACAGAGAAAGAGAAAGGGAAAGTGAGAAATCACCCCCAGGGTAGATGGTCACACCACAATCCCTTCTCCACTCTCCTTTTGAGATTTTGGGCATGCAGGCACACACACGTCTGGCATGTTTTTCAAGTTGATGGGTCTGGGATACAAATCGTGTATTTGGCCACGTGGGATTCAGTTGCCTGCAAATTCACCTTGCTGGCCGCAGATCTGATCCCTGCCTCGAAGCCAGTCGGGACTCTCCTCTGTAGTTGTCCAAAGCTCCTGGCCTTCGAGATCTCTTTATGGCATAAACTAATCTGTGACCTGAGTGACCGTCCCCTGCACTGTCCTCTGGGCCGAGTTTCTGCCCTCCCGCATGCTCCCTGGAGTGCCCGAGTCAAACCCTGGTGGGCCCTCAAGTTGAAATGCCTGCAGGATCCGAATACCAGGCCCGCTGCTTCCCAGCTGTGTGACACGGGTAAGCCCCTTGGCCTCTCTGTGTAAGGGTGCTGCCTGACTCAGCTGTGTCAGCAGTGACTCCTCCCTCGTGGCAGGCAGACGTGATGTCACGCACTGGTCTCCACAGCACCTGTGACCTAGTAGACGTTTAAGCAGTGCCGAGCAGTGACGACGGCGGGGTGAATGACCCCATGGTGGGACTCCACTTGTGGAACTCCTCTGCTGCACTCTTCAGAGTGGAACACGAGCAAGGTAGGTGCGATGCCATGGGCCCTGCGAGCCTTACCAACCTTCGCTCGTGGCCCTCCACAGTGACTGTCAACCCGGCCTACCTGACCTCGTCCCATAAAGCTGCCCGGTCCTTTCCTGTCTCTTTGGCTCCAGTTCCAGAGCTTCCGGTCTCTGGAGTGCGCCGTCCTGCTTCATCTGTAAAGGTGAGTTTTTTGGCCCACGCTCACTTCTTGTGTTCTCCCTGTCTGTCTTAACCCTTGACTTTGGGCTTCCCCCAAATTCCTGCAGGCGTCCTCTGATTTGTCTGTGAGTGACATGTGTCTCATGGCTTCGGAAACACTGCCGTTCCCCTCCGCGTTAGCGCCTTCGGCTGCGGGCGTAATACAGCAGACCCGAGTCAGCTTAACTGGCGGTACGTTTCTTTCTCAAGAAACTAATGGTGCCCTCACCTTGTCAGGGCCCTCAGATGAAGTGAAAATGGGAATGCCTTTATTCTGCTATGGGTATATGTCCTATCTTTCCAAGTAGACTGCCTTTTGATTCAGAGACGTGTCTTCCTATCATTTTATAATCGGAAAGCTGTGCTGCTCAGTCACCCCCAGGGGTGGTTTCGCACTTCCCTTCCCTCTCCCTGCACTGCTCCCCTCACTCTGCTTCAGAGTGAGGCTGAGGACAGAAGGAGCAGCATATGGGAAAAGTGAGACACGTGAAATGCCCTGCTGCGTGCTGGGTCCTATCAGGCAGCCGGTGCCACTGCGGCCTGGGCGTCTGCAGGAAAGGCAGGGGAGGTGGCAGTGCAGGCAGTGCCTGTGTCATGCTGGCACCTCGAGACAGGCTCGTCTCGTGGGATGGGGCTTCAGGAAGTCCCTGGGCTGAGGCTGACACCAGAGGCCAGAGAGCCACATGCACTTAGACGAGGAAGCTCTTTCTAGGAAAACATAAAGCAACGGCCGCATGCGTTTTCCGTGACGCATTGCCTTTGGGCTCAGGTCAGGCGGAGTCTGAGAGGGGAGCTGCTCCAGGGAGCTCTTTGTGAGAGGATGCCGGGCTGTGACAGCGGGGTGCCCCGGGATGGCCGACTGTGCCTGCGTTCCGGCGCGCTCTGTCGGTGCACTCTGTCGCACTGTCCCCAGGCCTGCTGCAGGTCATCTCGAGGTGCAAGATTTTTTGCTAAGCAACTTGAAGTGTTAAAAAGGAAACCAGCAGCACCAGCAGGTGGCATGGAGGTTAAGGTGGCTGGATCCCACATGGCCAACAGTGCAGTTTGAGTCCCGGACCCAGTGGCCTGAGAAGCACACCAGGCATGTGCACGTGTGTGCCCCCCAAAATCCCAAGAGGAGACGAGAGCAGAAGGATCCCTCCCGGGGGGGGGGTGATCTCACACCTTCCTTCTCTCTTCATTGCCTCCCTATCTCTGTCCCTCTCCAGCAAACACAAAGCCCCATAGCAGAGGAATGGCAGGATAGCTCAGCAGCTAAAGGCATGGGTTTTAAGAATTTTTTTTTGGAGAGGTTTTCGCTATAGGGCGCATGTGCTTGCCAGACAGAGAGAGAGAGACAGAGAGACAGAAAGCGAGAAATCACCCCCCAGGGGGGATGGCCACGCCACAATCCCTTCTCCTCCATTCTCCTCTGCCTCTGCCCTGCTCTGCATTGGCTTCTCTGGGTAGAAGTGTGTTGTCCCCCAGTTTGGAAGCCACTCGGGGAGAGGCTCAGCAGGCACCCCGCTGCCCCCGACACAGGCCTCCCTCTGCGATGAACAAAGCAGCAGTGGCCAGGTGGCTGCCTCCGCTGGCACTCTGTCCCCTCGCTGCGACCTGGCATCTGGCGGCACCGTTGGCAGAAAGGCCCAGAGTCTCAGTGACCCCCATGCTCCCTTTCATCAGAGCTCCCCTCCGGGTCAGCAGCTTTCTCCTTACCTGTGGGTCTGGGTTTGGCCACTAGGATGAGGCCTCCAAGGGCCGAGCCTGCTACCTGGGCTGTGCCCAGCACCCTGAGGACTCGGCATCCCTGAACCCCAGCCACGGAGCCCGGCTGCCTGCCCCGTCCACCCTCCACTGCTCGGTCATGTCACCCAGAAGGGCAGTGCAGACCAAAGCCAGTCTTGCAGCCCTGCTCCCCTCTCCTCCCCTCCCCCAGCCCTGCAGTACATAAGGGACCTTTTCTATTTGCAGAGCCTAAAGAAGCCAGTTGCCAAGGTGACAGGAGCAGGAACAGCAGGGAGCTTGCCATGGGGGAGGGGTTGTGCCCCCAAACAGCTGTCAGTGGGAGCAGTCTCAGCTGGGACAGAGGGTTTGCCTGCTCCAAGGGGAAATGGCCCTAGGAGAACACATTCCTCTCTGCCTGGCCCCCGACTGCCACCCCCACGCGAGTCTCCACTGGTTATGTCCCTGGGGGCAGCCAGCTCAAAAAAACGCTCCAATAACAAACAAAAACCGTGCTTGGCTGCTCGCTCTCATCCAGTGTCCTCTCTGCAGCTCTCCGCTCCCCAGTGCGAGCTCGTGCACGCTTGCCCTCTCTCTCTCAGCGTGTCCTCTGTGCAGCTCCCCGCCCCCCAGTGCAAGCTTGCTCATGCTTGCTCTCTCTCTCTCTCAGCGTGTCCTCTCTGCAGCTCCCCGCCCCCCAGTGCAAGCTCGCTCATGCTTGCTCTCTCTGTCTCTCTTTCTCAGCATGTCCTCTGTGCAGCTCCCCGCTCCCCAGTGTGAGCTCGCTCACGCTTGCCCTCTCTCTCTCTCTCTCAGCATGTCCTCTCTGCAGGTCCCCGCTCCCCACTGCCTCACAGAAGCCCAGGCAGGCCGCCAGCAGTCACCTCTGCCTGGGGAGCCACCGAGTGGAGCCCGACAGGTGCTGCTCCGGGCCTCTGCCATCAGGCCTAAGAATGGGTTCAGTCTTTCTCTGTCCCAGAGACCTCTAAAAGTCCCCAGCTTCCATCTGGGAGGTAGGCGTGGGGAGCAGGGCCAAGGCTTGATAGAGGAAGGGGTGGGAGAGAAAGAAGACTGGGCTGGGTGGGGGACAGCAAAGCCTGCTAATCTGTCTCAGGGAGCCGATCTTTAAGCCCTGTGTGGTGCTCTCTCGCTCAGGCCACACGGCCCCTGCTGAAACTTGCTCCTGTAACTCCAGGGCACGAGGGAAAAGGGCCCTCCCTGGACTCCACACACCCCCGCAGTCTCAGAAGGTCGAAGGGGTCCCAAACTACGCGGACACAGAGGGGCAATCTGGGCTTTGCCGTCAGGCATGGCGAGGGACCCCGTTCTGCCAGCCACTCCTTAGGTGACCGTGGGGACTGCTCTGAGCGTCAGCTCTCCTCTGAGTAGTGGGTACAATATGCCTGCTGGGCTCTCTGGAAGGCAGAGGGGAGCAGCGTGGCGGACAGTGCCCAGCCTGCTAGCTACACCTGCCGACATGCAGGCACTACCCCTTCCTGGCAGGTTTTCTCAAGACCCAGAGCTGCTAGCAGCCTTAGAGGAACCCAAGGACTGGCCTTCCTTCGGAAGAGGCCTTAGAATGTGGGGTGCCGGCTTTGATGTTGACCTGGGCAGTAATGGACTCCTGGAGGTCCCAGGCCCAGGCCTTGCTCTGGAGAGCTAGAAGGAATGGTCTGAGCTGCTCCAGCACATGGAAGGCCGCCTCCACCCTCTCAGCCTGCTTCTTTTTCCATGAAAGGAAAAGGCCGGATTAACCTCTGGAGAGAGCAGAGCTGGGCAGTGAGGAACACCTGGACCCTTGGGGCAGTGAGGCCTCCACCAGAGCTCAGGACACGGAGCAGCCCTGCCTACCTCCGGACTCCGTTTGACCCCTGTAGGTAAGAAGTCCTGTTTGGCCGTCTGGGTTCACCTGGTGACAAGCACACACAGGTTCTCAAGGAGAAAACGTGCAAGTCAGACTGGAGAGCAGAAGGGTCCGGACGAGGACAGGGTCAGTGCCGGGCTCAGGGATGGGAGCAGGGTGACTCTCTCTAATGCAAAGCCACACAGCCCACTGCCACGTTGTTTCTGTGGCTAACGGTGTGGCACGTTCCCTAGCCTGGCAAGTCTGGCTACTAGGGCTCTGGGCAGATTTGCCACGTAAGCCGGCCTACAGCCGGGAGAGCCTGAGACCGATCCAACCTGGCCACAGAACTTGCCTCACACGTGCTCGGCGAGGTGGTCATTGTTTTTAAATTGGCGAGGCGTGGTCTCCAGCATCGCAGGACTCCCGTGGCTCCTGTCCAGGCTGTGCCTGTGTTCCCAGGGCCTCAGACACACTATAGCGCCTATCACGCTGCATGGAGGCCACTCCTCGCCCTCCCTGGAGGGCAGGGCCCTCCTTTGTCTATGTGCACACCCAGAACGGACGATGCCACGGCAACCCTAGTTGACCAAAGCCTCCGAGTGAAGAGAAAACCAACTCGCCACGTCCCCATCGCCCCACGTGGCTCTGAGGCAGTCCTGGCTGGCCTGTGTTCCTCAGACTCTTAGAGAATTCCGAAAGCATCCCCTGCCGACCCCCACCACCGGCTGAGCGGCTGAGCGCGGGGCTGTGTGAAGGGCCTGTCTGTCCCGACCTCCGAGGCGTTCTCTGAGTTGCGCCAGAAGCGTGAAATGGAAGCAGAAGCTGACGAGCGCCTCAAGATGGGGAGAGAGGAGAGTGACACAGGGCCGGTCTCAGCACGCCCGGGGAGGAGGGAGACCTAACGCTCCCTCTGGACCCTCTGTTCTGCTAGGGCTAGGACCCCTCTCCGGGCCCTTACCTGGTGCAGCAAGCGGGTGGGTGGCCACAGCAGGAACCACTCGGGTCAGCCCTGCGCGGCCCTCGGTGCTCCCTGGCACGCCGCTGCTGCCATCCGCTTTCTTGAGTGGCTCTGTCACACTGTCACTCACGGCCGTCTTGGCACCCGCGGGGGAACCCTGAGCAGTGTTTCTGCCCTGAGGTGGGGTAGGCAGTGGCTGGCTGCTGCCAGGCGGGGCTTTCAGGGCCAGGCTGGTCAGGGCAGGCTGAGTGGCAGCTGAGCCCGAGGCCGCTGCGGCTGGTGTCTGCTGTGTTCGGAGGGTCAAGTTCTGCACCTGGAAAAGAGGAGCCTACAGGAGTCTGGATGCCAGCGGATCAGTGCGACTCACAACTGAGCCGGCGCGAGGCAGGACGGGTCTGGGAACAGCTGACCAGGAAGAGGGTTGTGAAATCAGAACGTGTGGGCACTGGAGGCCTAGGGAGGCCGGGAGCTCTGGAGGACAAGAGAGCGCTGTGGTCAGCTCCCTCAGCAGAAGCTGGATTCTGAGGAGGATGGCTGCTGGGTGGGGCAGGGCAGGGGCTGGCGGGGCAGGGCAGGGGCTGGCGGGGCAGGAGGCCACCCTGCTCCCCCACC